CATACGGAATAACCACTGTAATAACCAGAGTATCAGTCACATGGAAGCAGTGCTTAAAAACCTGAATTTTGCCTGAAACTCTCAGACTGAAGAAGTCTCTTGGAGAAGAGACGAAACGTTTCATTAGAGAAGAACCCGTCCAGAAGACCTATACAATTTTTTTTCTTTTTGTAACTGTGACACTTTGGTCTGAATTCCTCCTAGCACAGAGCCTGACACATATTTTAACTCCACAAGCTCCTCTTTCACCACTTTTCTAAGATGTGTCGCAGATCAACTCGTTTTTGAGGCTGTCTCTTAAAACCCAAAAGAGGCGCTTCACCCCCCCAGCTTCCAGACCAGTCCATTCTAGTTTAATAGAGGGGTTTACGACCATCTCTCGATTTGCATGGTTTTTTTAGCTGCATGAAAAAATAAATAAATTGAATAAAATAGTAMAAAAGATGCTTCAAAACTTATGCTTTCATCCTGAATAAAACAACAACCTTCACGTTAACTGTCATTTTGCAGTGTTTTATTCATGTCAAAAAATGACAAGGTTCAGCCTGCTCATGTACAAAATGAAGTCTTGTGTTGTTACAAAAAAATCCTTTTATAAATTGCAAACAGCACAACCTCTCCCCAATAAATAATTCCCCTGAAGTCCATACGGACCTAAAGCACACATTCAGACTAGGACAGACAGACAACAACACGTCTGTTCGTCACTTGCACTTGTATGTGAGCTGTTTGCGATGATAGTGGATCCACACGGGAGCAGCAACAAGCCCGGTCAGGTAACCAATCATAGCGCCGAGACTGCAGGAAACGGGCCAGACCTGCAGGAAAAAAGAAGACAAGTCACTTTTACTGACAACAAATGTGATGAAACACTCCGATGCTGCTCTGATGGATTGAGAGGAGCTGTCTTTTTATCACTCATGCCCTGACTTGAGAGTTGGTAATTTAAAGAAAAATACCCCCCCTATTTTCAATTATTACGTTTTTTCACTTCAGTTACTTCTTTCCTTCATTGGAATTAAAATATTCAAATTGATAAGAAAATCACTCAAAAACTAAAAGTCTGTTTATTATAAGTTCATCCTAATATATAGAATATGTTTTACTGACTTGTAGGGATGTCATGATGACAGTTTTTCCTCAAACCAAGTCTGAGTAAGAGTACTTCAGTTTGGGTATTCGCAGATACCGAGTACTTACTGAGTTAGAACTTAAACATTACTTAGTGACTTTAAAACGCTATTTTTGTTTAGAACAAGGTGGCTCCTTATAGGCATATGGACAGAGTTCAAAACTCACATTCTTTGTTCTCCTTGATTTTTTTACATCCAGAACCAGAATCACATTTGTTTCCAACATAACTCTGTGTGCGTCTGTGCTCGTGTGTGCTTGCATATCTGGGTAACAGACATGCAGCATGTTTAATTTGAGTTTTAAGTCCTTAGACAGTCTTAATATTTAAGACTAAACTTGTAAATTTGATTGAGTATCTGTAAAATGTCATGTGACTTAGTGCAACACATCTCTAGATCTCTTATATTTGGGACGGATCTTGCAAAAACAAACGYAAATATTATAATTTGTGTTCAACGTGAGCTGCTGACCTGCCACGGCCGGTCCCAGTCCAGAGGGATCGGGAACGCTCCTGTCCAGGCTCCTACCAGCGTGCAGGCCACCGTGATCTGCAGGCAGGTGTCCCACACAGACATGGCCCTGAGGACGGAGGTAGGGCAAAAGCAAAAAGCGTTTGTGTGTGCATGTGATAAAGGGATGCAGAAGGGAAAGAAAACTGAATTTACCCGTGTCGACTGAATACTCGTATCCAGGCCTGGACGTTGGGRCCGAGAACACAGAGACACCTCAGAGTGGTGAGGGAGGTCAGGAAAACAGCGAGAGAAAAGGTCTCTAAAGCTGATCTGAAATTCATTGGACACACGAGTCAGACAGCTAATATTTACTAAGTTTAACTTCAAAAATACTTTATAAACAGACAACTCTAACTTTTAAACCAAAGTGAAAAGGTCTAGTACTCACTCAATCAGCGGTGCTCCATACAGAACAACCACTGTGTGGAAGAACAGGCATGACAGGAAGAAGTACAGACATGAACGAAACAGCCTTGACAGCTGGGGAAAGAAAAAAAAGTTAAAATACACATATACACTCACCGGCCACTTTATTAGGTACACCACGCTAGTAACGGGTTGGACCCCCTTTTGCCTTCAGAACTGCCTCAATTCTTCGT